GCATTCGCCCGTTTCGGGCGCCACTACGCCGACCATGGCAAATCTCTTCAATTCCAAGAAGAGGCCGAGAGTGGTTTTGAGCAAGGTCGTCAAGTATGACGTGGACCACCGCAAACGCTCATATCGGCCGGAGAGGATCGATCTGCACTATGATCGACTTCACAACCCAGACAACTGCTATCACATTCGCCTGGACTGGCTGAACGTCACGGCCAAGCTGATCGAGGACGCGGTGGAGGGCTGGGCCAGGGAGGCAGCGAACTACGGTCTGCGGCTCGTCGAGGTCCCCATCAGGGAGGCTTGCACGATCACCGACACGAATCCCTTCCGCCGACCGTACACCATCAAGCTCGCCATACCACCGCCGGCGCAGCAGCCTTCGACGTTTTACGATCCCACGTCGTTCACGGCCCAGACGTCTCCTGGCAAGCACCCGTACCATGCGGCCATTCTGAAGAAGTTCGACTTTGTGCTCGACGTCGAGGCGGCGTCAAACTACCCTCCTAATGTTGACGTGAGCTACTCCTGGGGCAAGCCCGATTTCAAGTATACGCAGTACATCCACCGCTCCGGCGTCCTGCTTGCCGAAGTCACAGACGAGGGACACTTTATCATCCTGGCCAACCGCTTGTTCAGTGAGCGGGCCACGGCGGCTCGCGAAAAGGAGATCAAGGACGCCCGCGATTCGTACGGCGGCAGCGGCGGCACTTCTCTCCCCGTTCCGATGGAGCGAGGCGGCGGCGGCAGCGGTCGTTTTGTGTCGATGGGGTCGTACACACCCTTTGGCGTTCCGGAACCAGGTCCGACGGCCTCCCCGCAGGTCAAACCAGCCCTCTTCGCGCCGTCCCCGACGATGAGAGCCGCGGATTACTCGTCATCTGCACACAGCACATTCCCTGGCAGCCTGAACCCCAGCATGCCGAAGCCCTTCCACCTCAGCGAACCCTCGCTCGTCAAGGACGACTTTGAGTCGTTCTGCGGTGATGCGTCGGCCCTCGAGGCCTTCTACAAGGAGGTGCTGGAGAAGTCGCGCGATTCGCGCTCGCCCATGACGACACCGGCCAACGTGCTCGGCCACCAGGGTGCTGGCGGGCTCGAGGCCGTGCCGGAGGCCAGCATCCCGAGCCTTGGCCTGCCGGAGCGAATGCTTGGCGAGATGCGGGACTTCAGCAGTCCGAGCCCTGGTCCCGGCGCACTGAGGGCGTCGACGACAGCGACGACGGCTATGGGGATGATGAGCAGTCCCGTGCTGACGGGCGTGAGCTTCCTGAGAAGAGGGAGCGTTCAGGCGCAGCTGCAGCAGGTGCAACAGGCGCAAGAGGGCGCGAGGTCAGAAGGGGGCAGCTCCCTGAAGGACGGGAAAGGGGGCTAGTTGATGCTGTTCATGGTGATGGCGCTTCGGCCGCCATGTGGAGTTTTGGGGGTTTGTGAGCGACGGGTTATGTTATCTTATGTACATGTGAAAACTGAATTGAATCTTCCTCGAATATGGTTCACTGAGCACATCACCAGGAGTAAGAAGACAAGGCTGATCTGATTGATGATGGGTTGACTTAGTCATCTGGTTCAGGTCGAGAAGGGGCAGGCAGGATGGGAAGACAAAGGAGGGCGCGCCCCAGACGCGCAGGCAGCAGGACCTGCCTCCAATCGAAGGCCTTGGCCGACATCTCGTGCACAAGGAGGATTGAATACCTTCTTCCGTCCTACATCTACCCTCTCTCTACGCTCGCAAGAAACGCCGCTCTTTGCATCTGCATCGCCGTACCTTATTGCTCCATCACTCGTCACAGTGCGCTGGTCAAGACCACCCCGACAGGAAAGAGATGGATGGATGGATGGAAAAGGAACAGCAGCGACTGATAGCCGTCTCCTCATGGTGGCACCAGTACGATGAGGTATGGCGGCCATGACGAGCATGCATGATGATGATTGCAGCCCTCTTCTTAGCGACGACAGCACGAACGACCCCAGAGCTCAACGATTGACGATTCGCTTCTTTTTGCCCTCGGCTTACTTGCATTGCATCCAAGGATGAATTCAATGACTCTGGATACTTCCAAGCCTCCCTCCCCGGAGATATCCCCGAAGGTACCCAACATATCAAACTGGCGTCAGTGGGAAGCTACCAGCCACAGCAAGCGAAAAGATGGCTGGCCCTCCGGCCGGTCAAATACCCCATCAACTCGCGCATGTCGCCCACCAGCCCATTACTATGATCGGGCCTCCGCATCGGACGAACCGCCGCGGTTGAACCCTCGCAGCTCGGACGTTTTCTGTTGGACAGACGGGAGTAGCGGCCCCTCCAAGCTGCAGCGGTCACGCCTCTGGTCTACTGCAACAGCTGCAGACTGCAGACCGCCTTGAGGCCCAATTCACTTCTGGTCTTCTCTTTTTCCCCCCTCCTGGTCCGGCTGATCGGTCAGATGTCTGCTTCTGCTTCAACTTCTCCTCACCTCCCTCCGCTCTCCTCACTGGTCTAGCCAGGCGAGTCCAGGCCACACAACTTCCGACCAGACGACGGCCACCTTGGCCCATTGGGAGCCCATCGGGCATTCAACCTCTTCCCCTCATCATTGGACCTACCTCGTCGACCTGCTGCAGCAACAACAAGCTGGCATTCGAGCCACGACACTCCTGCACCGACCCTCCAACCAGCAGACTGTCTGCACTTTCGCCCTTCTTGAACCCGCGAACCTCCTCGCAGATCCTCTTTGTCCCTCTCCCCCACTCACTCCCATTGAACGACCGTCCGACCCCGTCATCCCCACGACACAAGGACCGCACACCAGACCAGACACGGCCACCGAGCGAGCGAGCACTCGTCCCAACGTCCTGCACCGCTGATGCTGGTGCTGCTGGTGCTGCTATTGCTGCTGCCACCGCTTCTTCCGTGCTTTCATCCTGCAGGATACATAGCAGATACCGCTAGCATCGCTCCCCCCTTTCGGTTCCCATTCCCCTCTTCTACCGCCAGCTGTACATCGCTAGGCGCAGCTGCATTCATAATCAAAAACCAGGTCAGTCCTTAGTCGAGACTTTGCGTCCCTCCACCCCGCCTTTGAGCTGTCTTCCACCTCTACCGTCACCCTGCCACTTCCTTGCACGCGACTTCAGGTCAGCATTTTTGAAGAAGATGCCCCGTGTATTTGTATCGGAGCCACCTTGAGATATCGGTTGCCGTGTACATTACCTGCTGCTGTTGATGCCACCACCAGCTTCCTCGACGCTCACTTTCTCGCCATCTTTACTTCTATCCCTCGTGCTAAGATGCGTTCCAGAGAGCTCAAGACGCGTAAGGCAGTCGTCAGGATGGACCCCGACTGCGCCATCTGTCATGCACCAGCCACTATGGCATGCGACTGCGAAGCCAAGGGCCTAGAGGTAGCCATCAAGCAGGCCGAGAATAGGATGATGCAGTCCATCTACAGCGATATACGGTTCGTTGGAACACATATTTCGATCTCCTGTGTCTCCTGTATTCTGACGACATGTTACAGTTCCTGGGTCCGTGGGCGCGCCCAGGACTACATTCTTGAGTATTACCGCCTCCTCACCGATCGTCGTAAGACACAGCACAACATGAACCTCGAGCGTATCGCCGCCCATGCTTCCTATTACTACCAGCAGCAGCCCCATCCTAACGACATTGCTGCTGCTCAGGGTGCCCTCAAACGCGGCATCGATGAGGATTGGCAGGCCAGCGTCCAGCGGTATCCCGAGGTTCTTGAGTATTTCTACAGTCTCGTCGAGCTGAATCTCCCCCCCGATGATGACCCCGCCGTCAAAGACCCGCCACTCAGCGCTCTCAATGGATCGAGGAAGGCGACACGCCGATCAGTCAGCCACGCTATAGCCGGTGCAAGTCACCATGAGAGAGAGCTGCCGCTGCCGCTTCCAAGACGGACGCCGCCACCGCTCGAACCGAGGATGGATCGCCGGACGCCGGCACCAAGGGAGAGCCGAAGGGCATCGTTCCGACCCCCGCCGCCACCGCCCATGTCGTCCTACTACGGGCCACCCCCAGGCTGGGGCGTTTAAGCCATGGTTGGCGCAGAAGAAAATGTTTTGATATTTTGAGATCCGGCTAAGATTAATGAAGCTTACGATTTATGATGCTGCGGTAATTCTCAACTTGCAGAGTTAGACAGTTCCCTGTTTCGCGTTTGGACGGGTCGATGGAGTACGGAGCTGCATATGGGTAGCGAGCATATTCTTCTCAGCAGAGTGTTGAAGGTTTCGACGTTGGCACGGATGCATCTAGGGTTGGCATTCAGTCATCAGCTGGCAGAAATTTGATAGATGTGACCTGAATCCACAGTTCTGAAGCCATTCGCTCATGCTCCGAGACCTGTTTGAAGTATCGCGAGTCAGTATCACACCTCGTAGGCGATGATGTGCCTGCTTCAGCTCAGTCGGCAGCATGTGGACGTCGCAAGGCTTGATCTTGAAAAATGTCATTGTCGCTCGATGCGGCCCCAGCCACCCTAAGTACAACAAGACGAACCAAACCACAGCCACCCGCCACGCTTTTTTGGTGAGATCAAAAGGGAACACAAAGGAAAATTTTGTAAAAAGTTGTGAATGAAAAAGAAAAAAAAAACAGGAAAAGGTGAGATCATTTTGTGTGAGAGAGTAGAGTGCGGCAAACCCATGATCCGAGGACAGGGCATGGGGGAAGAAAGAATCTAGAGTGAAGAAAAGAGAAAGAAAGTAGAGAGGATGAAGGTAATGATTTCCATTCTCTCCCTACAAAAGCGCATCCCCACACCCGTCATGTGCAGCCATATTTCAAAAAGAAAGAAAAAAAAGAAGGGTTGGGAATCTCCTTCCTTCTCTGGTTCACTGTCGAGTACGTGCCCTTCGTTTCTCTATGCTCCCTCATGCCTTCTTCTTCCCGAATTCCCATAGTCTGTTCCCCGTTGCTGAGCGAGCCCCCCTCCGTGGAGTGCGGAAGCGGTTCACCACAAACAGACCGTGGAGACGGGGGAGTGAGGAGGGCGCTATGCCTTGTCCTCAACCGAGGTCTCCTTGAGGTCCTTGGTGACCTCGTCGACGGCGTCGGCGGCGCCGTTGGCGCCGTTTGTCTTCTCCGTCTCCTCCTCGGCCTCGAGGGCGGCGATCTTGGCCTTGGCCTTCTCAATGTTCTGGAGTTTGTTAGCCAGCCTCTTCGTCATGCGTGGTGTGCCCACCCTCGGGCTACGGAAGAGATGCGTGTTACCTTTTGCGTCTGGGCAGCCTGGTCGGCCTTCCAGTGGTCGAGCTTGGCCTTGACCTGCTCGGTGACGGAGGGAATGTCGGCGGCGCTCATGGGGGGGTCGATGCCCATGGCGGCGCAGTCCTCGACGACGGAAGGGGGGCAGCTGAACTTGGCGCCCTCGGCGGGGGACGCGGCGGCGGCGGCGCCGCCCTTCTTGCCCTTCTTGCCCTTCTTGGTGGCGGGGAAGAAGTCCTCCTCGCGGTCCTTCTTGCTGAGGATCTTGGTGCCCTTGATGCCGGCGTCGTCGACCTTGCGGTCGGCCTGGGCGCCGAGGCCGCGATCGGCGAGCAGGGGCGCCTTCTCCTCCTGGGCGGCGGCGGGATCGAGGTAGCGCAGCAGGCCCTGGGCGCGGCGGATCTCCTCGAGGTAGGCCGGGTCGCTGGCCTCGGCGAGGAGACGCTCGGCGTCGGCCTTCTTGCGCTCGAGGTGGTAGCGCTCGTTCTCGGCCTGGCGGCGCTCGCGGGCCTTGTTGCGGGCCTCGCGCTCGTAGGCCTGGGCGGCCTTCTTCTGCTGCCAGTAGTCGTCCTTGATCTTGCGGATGACCTGGAACTTGTCCTGCTGCTCGGCCTGGAGCCTGGTGCGCTCGTCGCGCAGCGAGGACAGACCCTTGTAGGCCTCGTCCGACTCGGCCTTGAGGGCGTCGAGCTCGGTCTGGATCTTGGTGTACTGGTCGCTCATGGCGCGGGCCTCGGGGTCGTCCATCGAGTCCTTGATCTCCTTGATCTTGGCCTTGAGATCGTCAATCTGCTTCTGGCCGTCCTCGAACTGGGAAAAGTTCTTGCGCGTCTTCTTGAGCGACGAGATCTCGGCGAGGGCCTTCTTCTCGTCGACAATCTTCATGGTGCCGGCGTTGACCTGGCTGTCGAGGTGGGCGATCTGGCGGTCCAGCTCGTCGACCGTCTTGAAGGCCACCTTGCCGCGGGCGAGCTTCTGCTCGTTGATGCGGCTGCGCATCTGCTCGTCGAGGCGCTTGATCTGGTCGAGCTTGGCGCCGCGGGCGTTCTTGCCGGCACCCTGCTTCTGGCGGATCTCGTTGGCCTGGGCGATGAGGTCCTGGCGGCGCTTCTGGGCGGGGCTCTGCTTCTCCTTGTCCTTGTTGGGCAGGGCGAGGTCAATCTTAGACTTGATGTTGGCCTGCATGTGCACTTTCTGTCAGCACTTTCCCGGCCTGTTTGTCCGTTTCGGAGAGAGAGAGAGAGACAGAGAGAGAGAAAGAAGACACGTACGAGCTTGTCCATGGAGGCCTTGTGGTCGGCCTCGGCCGCCTTCAGGTTCTTCTGGTACACGGCCTCATCGGGCAGCTGAGGACGACCAGTGGTGTCCTTGGTCTCAGCAGCGGGCGCGGGCGCCGTCTTCTTGGTGTCGGCCATTGTAGAGGGATGTTGGAGCACGAAAGACGAGTCAATTGGAGGGGAGGGGGAGTGAGGGGGGGTGGGCTGTCTGTGCAATTAAGCAAGCTGGCCGAACCGTCTCACAAATCTCGAGAGGGCAAGAAAAAAAAAAAGAGATTGTAAGGGTAGAGATGTGGAAGGAGGAGGTCACAAGCAGGGGGAGAAAGTTGTCTCGTCAGGTGAACGTGGACGTGGACGTGGACGTGGTAGGATAAATTTCCAGGGTCCCCAGGATTTTGATGAAATTCACCCTTTTGGGCCAAGGTCAAGAAGCAGTAGCGGTGCCTCAGTGCCTCGTGGCACCTTTTTGTCTCCTTTTCCTGCGAGCGCTGAGCACGCACCGGACACTCTGCTGGAGCTGGTGCTGCCAGTACCTAGTCCAGTGCCCAGTGCCCAGTGCTGCTTGTGCCTAGGTCCTAGGTCCTAGGTCCTGGGCCTAGGTCCCAGGTCCTAGTAGGTAGGTACCTACCTACTGTTGGTTGCTGGAAGGCCCCTCCATGGCCTGTGCGCCGTGTCGTTGGGTGGGGCACGAGAGCTTCCAGACCCCCCCACCGATTTCCTTGACCGCTGGGCACGTGCGCTCGGTGAGAACGAGAAGGACGACGTTACATAATCGGGGCAACCTCGGATACATGCATGTCCGCGACCCGCTTTTGTCATTGTTCTTTCGTCTGAGCATGAACATGGAGGGACTGACGGGCCCTGGTTTTTTTTGGGCAAGGCTGAATGCGAATCTTGACGTTGCGAAGGTTGCGACACCAGCAGACACCCGTCACTCTCTGCATCTACCCTATCCCGTCACCACGACCACTTGTCAGCTGTCCCTCGCGCGCCCGACTTTTCCCTGATCAATTCCCTGCCCTCGAATCGCACAACTCAAAATGGAGGGCAACGACGGCCAGAGCAAGGAGGTGGTTCGCGCCTGGCGCGCCTGGAGGACGGTTCACGAGATGTGTGCCGATAGAGTATGGCCCCCGGTCCCGCGTTCTCTCAACGCTACGACCTCCATGTGCCTGCATGACGGTACTGACATGGCATGCCCAGGGCTACGAACTCGCCGAGTCAGAAATCCAGATATCTCTCGACCGCTTCCGCCACGAATACCTTGCCGCCGACGGCAGCGTCAAGTACGCCTCCCCTCCCCTCCCCTGCCCTTCCCTTCATACACCCCCGATTCTTTTCGCATGCACAGGACGGAACAAGTGAAAGGAAAGCACGTGAACTGACACGCAGCCTTCCCCCAGCCGAAGCAAGCTCACCTTCTCCGCGCGCCCCTCGAGCGACATGCTCAGCCGCCACACGCCCGCCCCGTCCGCCGCCAACCCCAACCCGGACCCAGACTGCGGCCCCATCTACATCGAGTTCATCGCCGAGCAGGGCTCCCTCGGCGTGCAGCACCTGCGCCGCTTCGTCCAGCACGTGCTCGAGGGCCACTTCAAGGCCGGCATCATGGTCACCTCGAGCCCGCTGACCTCGGCCGGCCGCAAGCAGCTGCTGTCCCTCGAGAGCTTCGCCCGCATCGAGTGCTTCCTCGAGGAGGACCTGCTCGTCAACATTACCCACCACGAGCTCGTCCCCAAGCACATCCTCCTCTCCACCGACGAAAAGGCCGTCCTGCTCAAGCGCTACCGCCTCAAGGAGACCCAGCTGCCGCGCATCAAGCGCGAGGACCCCGTCGCCCGCTACCTCGGCCTCAAGAGGGGCAACGTCGTCAAGATTATCCGCAACTCCGAGACGGCGGGGCGTTATGCCAGCTACAGGTACTGCACGTAGGCTGGCTGGCGTTGTGCTGCTGCCGTGGGGGGTTGCTGCGCGAGGGAAGCGGCACGCATTCTGCCGAAAGTCTCGAGGCAAGCCAAGAAGGAAGAGGGCCATGGCCGCGAACCGCCATTATCGCCAGGTCGACCGATAGGCAAGAGTGAGAGTGAGAGAGAAAGAGAGAGAGAGAGAGAGAGAGAGACGTCGCGCGGCCCCGACCTCCCCGCGAAAGAAAGGACAGAAAAAGAAATGGCGGCGTTTGTGTGCTGTTTGGGTTCGGCGTTCAGGGGGACTTAGACTCCATGTGTGTAGGAAAGCTACCTCGATTTTTTCGAAACAAAGTATAAACTTGAAATCGCTCTGCGGATCGCTTCTCGGCGTCACCGTCGTCTCGTGCTACTGTCCATGTCACTGGCTGGCAAGAGAGCGGGCCATCGAGAAAGAACACGCCCGCGGTCGAGCCCTCACTCTCGGGCTCGCAGGGCCAGCGCTGCCGTGTCGGCAAAACGAACACGCACGCCTCGCTGGAACGACGCGCGCCGAAAGTGACTTGTCCTGTTGGACAGTAGAGGCGCATGCCTGGCTCTCCAAGCTGACGCCCGTACCGCCACGTCAGAACGACCGGCAACCGACTTCTGGGGACCGCAATGCGCAGGCGCAGGAATGCTCGTCTTGACCTGACGAGTCAGCCTGAACGCAAACTCAGACTTGGAGACAATTCGAGTTGGCACGGCGAGGCGGCGAAGCGGCTGCAGGTCCTGCTGCTGCCACCATCTATCTTCCTAGACTACACCCATCACGGCACAATACCAGTGATCCCTAGACAAGGCGCCAAACTACCTGCCCGTTCAGTTCAAGTTTGACGACTGACCCAGCACTTTCTGACATGGCCAGGATAGAGCGACACCACCCAACCCAACCAACCCCTCACGGAAGTAGACACGGCAAACAACGGCACAAATTGTGCCTAACTAGTTCTCCTTCAAGAGCCACCCGGCTGGGCAGCACACTCGGGTCACCGTGGCAGTCCACATTGCATCGCTCAGAGGCACTTTGTTCATTAAAGTGAGGCAACAGTGGCAGCGAACGCACCACCGCCGACCGAGCTAGTAAAAATAGGGGTGGCCAGCTACTGCCGTAGCCAGCGCTGTACAAACATGTGGCGTCGCAACCGTGCGCCGGGGTATATGCTGTGAAATGACGAATGATAAAAAGAACAACAAAATGCAGTGATGGGGCCAGACGAGGCCCAGCCGTGAACCCTTCAAAACCAAAACCAGACCCCAACAGTGAATGGCTGGCGGTTCATCTGGACCTCCGATCCAGCCTGCAACTCCCTCGACACCTTGCCCACCCCCCGCCAGGACCCAGAAACCCATGTCGTGAAAAAAGAGTCAATAATCACGACCGCCACCTGGCGTCATAACGCCGTTTCGAGGGTTCTAGCATCTAAACTCCTTCCGTAGCCCGGATATTTCCAAGGTGTCCTGCTGAGCCGTCATGATACATGGGCATAATTGATATACCTGGGATAAGTATGTTCTTTCTGATGTGTGTGTGTGTGTGTGTGTGTTCATATGCTGGTGTGTTCGTGTGCGCCTTCGTGTTGCGCACGACGAGACTATATGTTTTCATGCCAAGATACGTCCGAGGGGACTCATCTCAAAAGGCCACCAGGATCCATGAGCTGTGGACCCGAGGTAGAAGCCGGGTCGAATATGACCATGTCAGAATGACGGGATTGCGGTATGGGCTGCAATTCGGTGCCGCTTCTGGGCTTGTGCCGAGGGGGTTTGGCGCTTGAAGGCCCAAAGAGAACCCCCATGTCCTGAAGGAGTGCGGTTGAGCCACGCCGTTGGCCAGTAGAAGGGGCCGGCAGTGCCGGCGACGGCAGGCTATGCGAGGTGTTGGGCGATAGAGGATCCACGCTCGATATGAAGCTGTCGCGCCTGAAGCTGTCGCGCCTGAAGCTGTCGCGCCTGAAGCTGTCGCGTCCGTAGCCGGAGCTCGCCGGGTCCTGTCCTTCTTCCGAAAGGAGCCCTCCCACATCGAAAAAGGAGACTCTTCGAGGTGTTGTTGTCGAGTTGCTTCTGGAAGAATGCAGGTCACGGTTGATGAGAGGATCATCGCTTCGCTCACTTCTCTCTGCATGACTCCTCTGCCGTTCAGGAAAGTTCCAGTGTTTCAAGTCTTCGGCAAATCTCCGAGCCATGGGTGCTGGGGTGTATGCACCTCTCCTGACGACGCCGTCACCGTATTCGGGTATGTTCTGCAGGTCGGCGTCAACGCCCAGCCCGATGTCGCGGACGAGGTCCTCGTCACTGCCCCAATGACGGTGCAGCGTCGGACGACGGGACCGCGACGTGATCGTCCGCTCAAGGGAGTCGACAGCCACAGATCCATACTTGAACTTCTTCTTCTTGACACCCCTGTCACGGACGAATGACCCGAGAACAAGTGAGTTGGCGGCTGTGGTGGCGAACAAAAGTTCAACAGAAGCCATCAACGATCGCAGTTGCTGATTCCCGTGAGCGCGCAGAATATTCGGCACGCGATAGCACGTAACGACAACAACAGCCAGGCTCAGGGAGAAGAGAAGAGTGAGCTGGACCTTCTTCTTGAGGCCCAATTGGCTGCGAAGGACCATGGGAATGGGGAAAACGACAAGCAGTAGATCAGTAATGATGTTGCAGGTGGCCATTGTGATGAGCTGTGCGTAGCCCTGGCGACATTGACCACCAGGATCGGGCAGGACCTGCCAGTAATGGGCGAAAGGTTGGCACTCGGCAAAGTTGCTTATGAAGATGGCAATGAATGTTGCGATCAAGGCGACTCGAATGAAGAGCAGAGTCTGGCTGGCATAGCGCTCAGAGGTAGTTTCCGTCAAGCGCCGGAAATACTCTAGAATGGTGTCTTTAAGAATCCACAATCTGTAGAGACGGGTGGTTAGCGAAACCCACGTCCGAACATGTTTGTGTGGAGGCGGACGAAAAGGAACGAGGAGGCGAGCGCCAGATCAAGGCGCAGACACTTACGTTGCTGCATATAACAGTCGACTGGCGAGCACGAGACCGCTGGCGATCTGTCGTTGGCGATGTTGTTTCTCGGACAGCGTGACGCCCGTAAAGTCTGCATTGTTGGTTCCGTAGAGCAGGATAAAGTGCACACATCCCATCCTCAAATACATGGGGATCAGAGCCAGCGAAACGACCTTGTCTTCCCTAAACAGCTTCTCGGTTCGAATGAATCGACCGACAACGCGCAGAACGATGATGACGGTGCAAAAAATGGTGATCCACCAACACACAAGGAGCGTCGGTTTGTCCTGGTCGAAGGTGCGCAGTGTCGGGGGGTCCGAGTAGAGAGGCATCGTGGTTATTGTTGTCCACGCCCGTCGTCCTCCGCGGAGGTCACGACGAGCGAGGATGTCACTACTGTGCCGACTGTCGGCGAGGTCTGTCGGGCCTCAAATATCGTGGGACGGCTATTGGTGATGATCTTGGTATACGACAAAGAGATTTTTGCGACAGCGTGGCGGCGCTGGAGAGCCAGTCGCTCCGAGGGTCGATACTATGACGTTGGCGTGGTCCGTGGTATCGCGCAAGTGTCCGATTCGTAATCCCTATGGTTGTGGCGGAGGGAACAGTGCGACATTAGACAAAGACTGAGGTGGGTTCGGCGGAGTCGCGAGAGGCGGAGAGCGCAATCATCAAGACACGGCGGCACCGGCAGCAAAGGCGGTCGTCGTAAACAGCTTTCCGTTCGTGATCGTGAGGAACGAATGGCAGTGGTGGGTGGGAAGATGTGAGTGAAGGAGAGACGGGTGGGAAAGAGCCAGCCAGGCTGGTCGAGATATTGCAGCCGAGTGGAGGAGAGCGGGCGAGCGGTACTGTTACGGGGCCCTGTACTTCACCTGCAACCAACAGGCGAGGTCTTCGGAGGGTCTTGGCAAGATGCTTACCACCTAGATGAGGATGCTCTTGTCTAGCGGCGTCTGCGGGGGGGGGTGGGCGGAAGGGAGGGGGCTGGATGAGCCAGAGGTTGATCCTGGATGGGGGGCGTCCAGCAGATTGGGGCATCAAAAAACCCTGTCACTTGGGACGGGGGGGGGGAGCTCGAGCCATTGGCCCCGAGGCGAGAAGAAGGGAGGTCAGTAGAGGGGTGTGTGGGATCTCGGTGGTAGGGTGTGCGCGTGGAATTCCCTGGTGCGCAGCGAGCGCATCTTTCAGCGCGCGACCTGTGGGCGATTGCGAATGAACAGTCGTCGGTGCGAGAGTAACAAGATAAAGCCCCGAAGGATTCGGACCGCGCACTCGAAAGATGAGACGATAAGGAAGCAACATGCCGCAGCAGTGGGCAGTAGAAGTAGCAAATGCCAGAGTGTTTCACAGCGTGCGATAAGATTCGGTAGTCGACAGACACCTTCTTCAAGGCTGTCTCGCGATGTGGCTGCTTTGCATGCCCCATTTCCCGCGACATTGTCTTGGTCGGCACACAGGTATCGTGAAGAGGCAAAGATGGAGGGCACAGCAACCATGCATGACGAGACTGACTGCAGATTCTGGGCCCAGGCCCAGGCCCGCCGACAAGAACCACCACCCACGAGGGCTCAGTCTCAAATGCGGCCAGTCCAGTCCATCTCGAGAAATCAACCACATCTCAGAAGGCGGGCTAGGAGTTAGTGACGGGCGGGACCTTTATTTTGGTGCTGGCGTGTCAAACGGCAGAGACCGGATGACAGATAAGAAAGTGGGCGGTTGGTCAGGCAGTCTGTGTTTTGGTGGTCCTCTCTCTGTGCGTCTATGTCTGTGGTATCTACGGCAAGGCAGATAGGTAGTGGCCGATCCGCTGTAGGCGTCGCCTTGGTGCCAGAGGTAAGATATGCTAGGCAGGCAAACACCGCACGTCCTCATTCCCAGCGATGCGTATCAGTGGAGGCGGACGTCTTGGCCCTTAAGGAATTCTGGGAATTCGACCAGACGCGATTCGTCGAGCTCAGAAGCAAACGATACCCATTGCTGCTCGATTGACCCCTCTTCTCCGACGAGTCGATTTTACTGACAGGGACTCGACATCTCGTTTCTCCGTCGGTCCTCTCTTTGCTTGGTGTCGAGCCCGAGGCAGAGCCGTCAACTAACCCTTCGGCGGCGGGCCCAACCAGAACCAGGACCAGGACCAGGACCTCAACGACCACAGATAAGGTGGCGGAAGGAGACAGGCCAGCGTTGACAAGATTGGTGGAGCGCCCGTTGACGACCGACTGGAGACACCCCCTGCCCCCCTCGATATCCACTTGGCCATCTGCCTCACCTGTCTGCGCGTGGTGTCCCCGCCGGCCTAGGCTTGATCACTTGGGTACTAGGGTCCCCGTATCTGTGCAGTGCAGAGAGGGAACTTTGCCTCTTTCAGGTCGAACGACGGGTCCGAATCACTGCGGGCGACAGTGAACAGTGTGCGAAAGACGGTCGGGCAGAAAGGGAGATGCTGTGAGGCATGTACGTCGTCTGCCTTGTGGGTGAGACTATGTGCCGAGGAACCGGCGGAAAAGCTCTTGAAAGCAATCAACTGTGACAAGAGTGGGAAACAGTACCGTGGTAACCGCGATGAGATGGCAAGTTGCCCGAGATGACTGACGGGTACTGACGAAGACGGCGCCGAGGATACATAGACCGAGGTGGGCGGGCACACTGGCCAACAGGTAGCAGAATGGCAGCAAGGATCTGACAGGGGAACCCCCCCCCCCGTTCTAGAGCTGAGTGGGATCCGATGTCGGTTCACGCGGCGACGATGACCGTGGGGGAGGACGAGAAGGAAGGGGAACAACCAAAGGCTGAGCTGCAGGTCTTCCTTACGACCATGCTGTACTGCTTCGTGTTTCCAGCACGCCTTGCCACGCTGACACTTCACGGACCATCGTGTCAGGTCCGTGACTTTGGTGGTGAGGCGACGCTCGATGCTTGCCAATGAAGCCCGACCAAGCGGCACACAACACTAAGGGACTAGCGAAGGTGAAAAGCCAAGCTGCGCGACCTGCTTTTAGACTCTGCTACCATGCAAGGTGATCCGGCGGTTCGAAGGGGGAAGATTGGGTTGGCTGCGTTGATCCTAGTTTGGGAGTCGGTCTGCAGCGTAGCGCCCAGGAGCAGTTAGTTGCTGCGAACCACTATCAGATTCGTTCGGTTTGCTGACGGCTCGCTGAGGGCACCAGTCGGTGCATGGATCTGACTGGAGACCGGCAGAGTCGATTGGCCTGCGAAGGCGATGATGAAGAACACACAGCTTGGAGATGAATCAACAGTAGCGTCAGGGACTCCCAGTGTCCCAGCAGGGAGGAAGACTAGGAGGGAAGGACGTTTGTAGGACGATGGGTGTCGGTGGGTGGACGGCGTACAGAAGATGGGGATGGAGGCATATGGCGTGGCGTGGCGGAGAGGGGAGGAGCGGCAGGGGGGATAAACGGCAGGGTCTTTCGTACAGTGCATTCATCGTTGCCAGTCACACGCTGTTGAAGACGGGCTGAGCACAAGACCATCCCCCGCCAACTTGGCAGGACGCCAGAGGCGCTGGAGCCAGCCTCGGGCCTCTGTCGAGAACTGCCATGGAGGCGTCAGCGAATGGCACCGCAGGCGATGGGGCAGGGGACCTCCTCCTACTGTTACCCCAGCCATGTGCAGACGACTGCAGACTGTGTCTCCACCTCCTCTGATCTCTCTGACCAGTCATAGCAGGGAAAACACGAGCTCTGGGCGGTGTCGTGCTTTGGGTTGGGGGGACAAGGACCAGCTGGTGCTCTGTTCATTTCGCTGCCGATGTCGTCGCGCTTGCCTCCACTCCTGGTCCCCTGTTCCTGCCTGCGTCCGCCTGTCTATCTTCCTGCCTGCTCCTTTGGTGCCGCCTGCCTTGCCTGCCTGCCTACCTGCCACACACACCGCTGTGATCACGCGACATGCTCCTTCGTTCGCTTGGGTCGTTTGGGGTTGGCAAGAAGGGGAAAAGCGCGCATCTGTCTCTCGCTTGCATGTGAGAGGCTCCCCCAGACAGAAGCTTGTCCGATTCATTTCCTGGAGACGGTGGCTTGCAGTGCAACGTGAGCACGCCATGGTCTCTCTGCCTGGGTGATGCCCACACGCCAAGGGGGAGGGGGAACCTGGGAAAGGCCCATACTTGTTATCTGGGTGGCTGACTGTTGGACTGTGTGTTGAGTCTTGAGCGAACGACGCCATGGGAGCACCTGCCAGGCAAACAAGCGGCAGCTTCTTTCCCGTTCGCACCTGTGCGCTGGCTCGACACCCTCTCTCACCACCAAAAAGACGCACGTCCTCGGAAGCTGACTGCTCAAAGAGTGCCTGACAGCCCGCCAATTGAGTGTCGCGCCTGCCTGGATTGGCCGCCGGGTAGTCCCTTCTTCCCGTACAGCCCCCAAAAATTTACGGCAAGACCACGCTGGTTGGGCCACACTTTCCCCTCAATCGAGGTACTCCTGCCTCTCCATTAGCGGCACCACAGCCAACCACCAAAGTACCTCGTCGTACCTGTTGAATGCCATCTCGCCATCCGCAATGTCTCTGCTGCGAAGTGACACACTTGATAAATCCCATCTCGTCTCCAAAACATGGCATCTCCGTGGAATGTTTTGAATTGATTTGTGTTCACGTTCGACAGAGTCCGATCGCCGCACCCAAGTCGAGCTCAACTGCCTTCCGAGAACGAGGCGCCCCAAGACACCCATTGCGCACCAGGTCGATTCCTGAACCTTATCCTGCCGCTCGAGCCTCGCGAAGCCCAAACACCAGTAGCCGAATGAGAGCCCAAAGCCGCCGGTGACATTCGAGGTCCAGTCACACCACGCAGTCGCATCTACTACGTCCCAGGTGACAGGCTGCCAGACTGGCTGACAGGCAGACCTTCATAAGAAACAGCAATGGGCCTCTAAGCATGAGCCAGCGAAAGGTCCCGGTACCCTGGCCCTGTGAACCAGCCACCTCCTGCATCACGATCAGCCTCGTTGTGAATGCAATACTCTCTGCCGGCAAATGCCTCTATCGCCCTGCATCCGCCAAGAACTTGCCGTGTCCTCCTCCCCCCCTGCATGAGGTGCGCCATGGCATCATTCGCATTGTACTGCGGCGCTATGTGAGGCAACATCGAAAAGGTTGTTGGAGCAGCTTCAACGCCCCGGTGGTGGTGGCAGCTGGTGGAATGGAAACTTCGGCTCATCGACGATCTCTGATTGCCCATTCCGAGGATGAGACCGCTCTACTGTCGTCTGCGTCACTGTTGCTTCAAGTTCAGCATACGGCACTCTCAGAGGCTGAGCAGCCGCTGGATGCCAAGCTCGTCGATTACCCTTCAAACCTCCCTTGGGTGTCGCTTTAACTCTGACCATCAGAGCGCGATGTGGCATCACAACCATCCTGCAAGTCGGGGGCGACTTCGCACTCTCACATCCCGTCCTTCAGTCCCACCCCCAAGTGACTGAAGCATCATCCGCTTGCTTTTTTTCTGTATTGTTCCTAGCCTCCTCACCACCATGAGGAGACCCTGCTGATCTTCCCGTCCCCTAGTGGGGGTCGTGGGCCATCGCTGCTGCTGACCTTCCTGTATGGGAAGGCCAACGACGACATGCTGCAGCTAGGTGTCGCGACAGAGCTCGCCATCGGGACCGAGCATCCTCACCCCATCTTTGGCTGTGGAATGAGCCAGACAGCTAGCTCGGAAGGATCGACAGCAACACTTTCCACGATTGTCGCAGATGTTGTAGTAAGCCAACTAACGAGGGAGAGGCATGTCTAGACGGCGGCGCCACACAATGCGCTTCAGCAACAAGACGAGACAAGAGGCTGCGCCAGCACGCGGGAGTGACGCCACTTGACAATTTGTATCACTGATTTGGCTTCTTCCATGCTTTCTCGATGCATCCTCTCCCTGTCGGTTTCGAAGTCTTACTGCGACAACATTGTTAGGCGAGACCAAGCACTGACACGACGCTTCTGATGGCCCCCTTGTCCGCCCGGCCCCAGTCTACACTCTTGAGCCTGGACCCAGCCTCATCGTTACAAAACAGCTGCCATAATTCGTCAACGACCAGACTCCGTACTCGCGGCCAGGGATGGAACATAAGGGCTCCCAGCCGCTTCCGCGCTTCTCGCGCCGCAGCCTCTGCGTGATCCTCGAACATGGCAACACAGCCGTACACGTGTATACAGGCCTCCAGCTTCCGGATGCTCCCCGTCTTATACCCTGCCTTCTGCACCAGGAGACAAAGCCTCTTGGGATCGACGCCCCGGCACCCGGCAAATAGACCCGCACGGTATAGAAACGCGACGATTTCCAGTGTCGGCACTAATACCCTGTCCTGGCCTTGCCGCGATGATAGGTTACGAACAAGAGCCATGCACACATCATCTCGATTAGCCGGCGCGATGCTGCAGTACTCGGTGAGAGCGGCACGCGCCGCGATGACAAGGTCCTCGTTGCCCGTGTCCGCAGAAGTGACATAGCCCGCGAGGAGCTCTGCCATCCACGCACCGGGGTCGGCCCTGGCTAGTTCCATGATCAAAGGGTGGATGTATTCATCTTGCGCGTAGAGAGTCAACAGTGCAAGGAGATAGGGGCGTGATGAAAACGTAAGCTTAGTGAACCACACGGCGTAGCTATAGAATGTGTCAGTGACCATGAGATAAGGGTGGTGAGATATGACGGACCTGGGCGTCAAGGTAAGCGACAGCACGGCTTGTGCCTCGGTACGGACGCGATCCAGTTTCTCCGCGGCCAGGCGCAGAACGTTGAGGTAGAGCTTCGACACGGCAGCCCTCAAGCACTCTTGCTGTCTCGTAGAGCCGCCCGACTGCAGCGAACGCCAGATGCACCTTGTTGCGCGCAAAGCGCCCAATCGCACATGCGAGCCTACATCGCCCCGCGCAGTAGTTGTGTAGTCGTTGAGGCCCTGAGCCAGCAGGTCAAGGAACGCCGGGGCGCCGTCTTGCAGCACGACGCTCTCTGTGAGGCTCTGCAGGATGGCCACCCTCGTGTCAATGTCCTTGTCGCTCGCCCAGCGCGACAGGATGGCGTCCGTGGTCATATCGCTTTCGGGAGTGTCGGCAGTGTCGGAAGTGCAAACCCTGGTCGCCGTTGTTGTCAGGGGGTGGGCCATGGTCAGGGCTGCAAAGTAGCCGTGGTCCGAGGTTGTCCGGGATGTAGGCTTCTGGCGAGTCGTCGCGGCCCACTGCGTGACGATGCGATTTCGCTCTGCGGGTTCTGAGAAGGCAAGGAGCACGAGGGCCGCTTCCGCGGCGGCGGCAATGGCAGACTTTTCGGGGCGGCTGAGGCCTGCCGAGATGGTGGCTTCGAAATGGCGGACGAGTGCTTTCACTTGACTCGGGATCTCTGGCAGGGCGTCAACGGCGGCGACGATTTGGAGCAAATCTTGCGTGCTGTCCGGTGACACGATCTCGAAGCCGGGGCGGAGCAGCTGCAGGCCGGTCGGCGTCGTGTTAGCAGCAGCGCCGAGGCACGCGGCCTGCAGCACGGGCAGCGAGGCGATGATGAGGCGGTTCGCGGCCTCAGCAACGAGTTCTGGGCGACGGTAGGTCGCCTGGTTGACGGCCTGAAGTATGTCGGTCACCTCGCGAACGACGCGTTGCGCGACGGACATATCGTCGGCAGACAGCCCGTCCTCTGGCGCGCCGACGAGGCTCGGAAACTTGTCGAGCACGGATGCCAGGCAGAGGAGCAGGCCATGCCGCTCCTCGACCTGTCTGTTCTGCAGGCCGCTGAGTCGCTCGAGCACCATCTTGGCCGAGACTTGGAACTGCGTGCGTTCCTTCTCTTGGCCGCTCGACAGCTCGCGCGTCAGCGTGCCAAAGGAGGCGCCGGCAACGCGCCTGGCACCGGCGTCCGGGTCGCCGACGCCGCGCCAGTCGAGGAGGCCCCGCAGGAGGGCGCGGCCGTAGACGGGACTCAGCTTGGCCGCCTTGAGGGCGCCTTCGTGGAGGGCGCGGGCGCGCAGGGCGACGGCGTGGTAGTCGACGGTCTGGACGAGCCAGATGCCCTTGTCGACGGTGTCGGGGTGGCGGCCGATGAGCTCCTGGAGGGCGGCGGAGGCGCCGCGGCGGATATTGCCGGCGGGGTCGAGGGACGCCGTCACTGTCAGCTCGGTGGCGAGACGCTGGAGGATGGAGGGGGGGGAAGAAGAAGAAGTCGTTTCGCCGGCGGGGACGGCCAGCAGCTCGGCGGTGGTGTAGCGGCGCGCGAGGGCCCAGATGCCGAAGCAGGCGGCGTCGCGGACGTTGGCGCCGACGGAGCTGCCAGAGGTGCTGCGCTTCTCAAAGGCGAGGGCCAGCAAGAGCGCGGCGATGATGGCGGGCAGCTGGCGGGCGGGCGGGGACCGGCGGTAGAGGAGGTGGGACAAGGTCAGGGTGAGGCCGTGCCACTCGAGGGGGTCGACGGCGGACAGGTCGCGGACGGGCTCGGCGGTGCCGATGGCGGAGACGGCCCAGAGGACGTTGCGGTTGAGGGCATCGAGGACAGCATCGACCACCTCGTCGGCCATGTCGGGGTTGAGCTTGAGCGTGATGACGCTGAGGGCCTTGGAAGCGGCGAGGCGGACGGGCGTGTCGTTGTCGGCGAGACGTTCCAAGAGGTAGCCGATGGCGAGCTCGACGAGGTCGATGGCCGGGTGGGGCTCTCGGTCTCTGCACTGGTGGCGGCCGCCGCCGCCGAGGAGGAGGACGGCGATGGAGCGGATGACTTTGATGACCATCTTGCGGGCGACGGCGTAGGCGCGGATGGAGGCGGCGATGGGCGAGTCGGCCTCGGAGACGGCGTGGACGACGGCAAAGATGGCGGACAGCGAGGCGTCCATGTCGGACGTGTTGACGGAGGCACGGAGCACGCCGGCGAGGAAGGAGAGAACGCCAATGTAGAAGTAGGGCTGGTGCTCGGGGGCATGAGGGCTGCCGTCGTCGTCGTCATCGTCGTCGTCGTCATCGCCGGCCGTCTTGGTTGCCGCGACGTCCCGTGGGCGCAGGGAGGCGAGGGCCCAGCTGACGAGGGCATCCAGCACACCGAGCGACTGCATGTCGCGGCGCATGGACAGGCGGACGAGGAGGTGGCGCGCGCCGTCGCGCTCCTTGCCGGGCGAGGCGAGATACTTGACAGCCAGGGGCAGCACGCGCGTGGTGATGGCGGGCAGGCCCGGGGGCCAGGCGAAGCCGGGCAGCGGCACGAGGGCGGCGGCGGCGGGGTCGTCGGCGGGGTCGGCCGAGGAGATGGTCGACAGGTCAAAGGGGGCGAGCAGCAGCTGGGCGAGCCAGAGGAGCACGAGATAGCGCTCCTCCCAGATCCAGTCGCGCTGGGAGGGCTCGGCGGCGGCGGCGTGGGCGCGGACAGAGTCGGTCAGGGCGAGGAGCGAGGGTCTGGCGGCCCTGCGCTCGGCAGACTCGAGGGCCGCCAGCAGGGGCTCGAGGTGGCGGGCCTCGACGGGCAGGAAGCGCAGGATGACGGCGGCGCCGCGGATCTTGGTCAGGGTGTAGACGAGGCGGGCAATGGCGGCGGGCAGGGGCTCGAGCAGCTGGGCTCGTGCGCTGGGCGCGGCGGACGACGGTCTCGTCAGGCGGCCGGCCTGCGTGTAGAGGTTCTCCAGGTACGAGGCGGCGAGGAGGGGCAGCCATTTCGGCAGATGGGGATCGAGGAGCTGCGGTAGTTCTTGAAAGGGGTCGAGAAGCTATGGCCGTGCGTTTGGTCAGTTCTCGGGTTTCAGTCTCCTGTCACCTGGAAGGCTGGAAGGGGGGGAAACAATCTTGATCGGAACAAGGATTCAGCTCAGGCTCACGCACGGTGGATGTGAGCCTCGCCGTCTCGCTGATGCGGACGCGGGTGCGCAGCTCGCCGTTGGGTTTGCGCAGAAAGGGCGTCAGCGAGCGATCAAAGTCGGCTATGAGATCACTGGACGCCTTTTGGAGCTTGACGTCGCGATCATCCTCTGGTGCGTCCTCCATCGTCGGGTCCCGGTCCTGGTCCCGGTTCTGGTTCTGGTTCTGGTTCTGGTTCTGGTTCTGGTCCTGGTCGTAGATGGGGAACAGCGCCAGGCGAGGATTTCGAAAGAACGAGCGGGGATGTCACTATCATTTATTTGTCAGCTCGGGGTCTCGGAGACAAGGGTCTTTTGGACGAACATGAACGCTCATGTCTGTGTAGCGGCGAGGGCTCTGCCGTATGGGATGCTGCCCTGAACGGATGATGTGGTGGTATGTTCGTGAGGAGGCTGTCATGAGGAAGATGGGTGTGTCGTTGGAGTTGGTCGTTGAGAGTGAGAGCGATTCGGGGGGGCTCCGGTGACAGTGTATGGACTGGTAGAGCACGGTGACTGCACACAGTACCACCACAGCACATTCATGACATGTGATGGGGACGATGAGAGCGAAGGAGATGATGAACGCATCAAACGATCAGCAATGAACCAGAGTTGGAAGAGCAGAGGAGCACTTCTCCCAGCTGTCGCGAACAGAGAGAGCACCCATCCCCTCTCCCCGCCACGCATCAAACACGAGCACTCCAGATTGTCACGGATGCATCATCGGCAGCCAAAACTACCATGTGAGAACGCCGACTGCTCATTTCCCTGCTATATACATCTTGCCAGGTATGTCAAAAGAGAACCCCCGAAAACACCAGATTTTGTTGTAGTTTTGACTCCAGAAACGACCGCGCCTAGTCGCTGCCCGGCGTGGGCGCATCCTCAATCGCCTCATCCATCGCCGCCTCGTCTCCGTTCTCCTGCGTCTCCATCTCCTGCGTCTCGTTCTGCTGCTGCTGCTGCT